TCCAGAATTACTGTATCCTTCCCTCCGTGACTCCTGTTTGGTGCCTTCTTGTGTTTTCTCTCTGTCGAGGCTCTCGCTGTGTCCCTCTGCTCTTCCCCAAGATCAGTGAGCCTCTCCGGGACTGTTACTCTGAGCCCTCTATCAGGTAAATTAGCTGTCTTACTCTCACGAAGGTTTTTTTACTGGAGTTTCATCTTGTTCTTTCTTTGGGAACATATTCCCCCATGTCCTCATTTTGCCTGGCTCTCCGGGTTGGTTTCCATGTATTAGGCAAAAGTGCTCTCTCCTCATCCTGAGGGGATGGCCACGGGAAGCCCGGGGTGGGTGTCAGTCTGCTGTCTGCACGGTGCCCCGGGGAGGTGGCCTGCCAGGAACGTCTCTCCGATTGTTTCAGTCCTGTGGGGCCCAGAGCTGCAAGCCCCCCGGCCACCAGAGCCACACGTCCAGGGGACACCCCCGTGGAGACTAGGCACAGATCTGTGGTGGTGGCGTGGGGGCAGAACACGTCGGGGCAGAACACATCAAGCCTACCTGCTGGGTTCAGTGGAGTGGGGGCCACGGTCTCCCCTCCCTTCAGAAACCCCCGGGCATTCCTAACTTCGGCTGTTCTCACCCCATCACCGAGATCTCTTCTCCCAACCTTGCTGCTACCGTGAGGTCTGCTTCCCCTGGAGAAGCGGCCCCGTCCCTCCATGCTGGCAGGGGAGGTGGAGAAGAGTGGCAAGTAGGCGGGCACAGGGACAGTCGTACCACCCACAGTGCCCATCCCGGGGTCTTGCCTTCCCCACCAGGGCCCGGACCCCTGAGAAATGCAGCCACACCAGGCAGAATGGCTGGCACAGAGCAGGTGCTCAGGGGGCATATTGGCGGCATTATCGGGATTAGTTTTTTAAATTTTTTTGATGTTTATTTTTGAGAGGAGAGAGAGAGAGAGAGGGAGAGAGACAGAGCATGAGCAGGGGAGGGGCAGAGAGAGGGAGACACAGAATCTGAAGCAAGCTCCAGGCTCAGAGCTCCAGGCTCTGACGCTGGGCTCAAACTCACGGACTGTGAGATCATGACCTGGGCCGAAGTCGGATGGATGGTCACCCAACTGAACCATCCGGGCGCCCCTGTCGTGAATATTAATAAGAGTAAGGGGACGAGGACCACAGACCGCAGGGTGCCTTGTGGAGACATCATCAGAGCCCTGGAGCGGGATGTCGCTTTCAGGTGTCTGTTCATCCTTTCCTTCCTCAGCCATTCGTCAGCACTTACTCGGTACCAGACTCTGCGTGGGGCTCTGGAGTACCCAGAGGAAGGTAGCCAACCCCGGCCCCGGCCTTGAGCAGCGCACGGCCCGTGAGTCAGTCAGGCGTGAGACCCCCTGGAAGGAGGGGCCTCAGGGGGACGTGATCCTCAGTGACAGAAGGACGGGGGCCTAGCAGACACCCCCACCCCGGCCAGACTGAGATCCAGACAAGTACCTGGAGCTCTGTGTGTGTCCTGGCGGACACGGGGCCACACCTCGGGCCCCAGGCCACACCCGGGCCACACACCTGAGCGGGACAGAAGGGCGCCAGGCCAGAGCCTCCCCAGGGCCTCCCACGGGCTGTACGGGGAGACCGGGAGCCGGCGCAGGCCCGTCCTGAGCTCCAGGAAAGATACAGAGCACTCACCTCCAGCCCGGCCGTGCCCTCCTCCCCCCCACCCAGCAGATGGGCAGGCACACGTCCATGAGGACAGAGACATAGATGGTTCAGGTGTACAGGGAGATCACGGAACTCAGAGACACAGACGGCCCAGCTCGTCCACCCGGCACCCCGCCCCCCATCGCGGACGAGAGCCCGAGCAGGACAGAGGAAGGGGCCCGGCGGCCCCGAGCCGCACGGTGGGTCACGCTCCACGTCCAGTGCCCGTTCTCTCCCAGGAGGCCACTTGTCCCTTCACTTGGGGCGTGCCCCTCCCAGTCCTGGAGAGAACGCCGGATGACGGGGGAGCCCTGGACTGCGGGAGCCACATCGCACCTCCCACCGCAGCCCCTCCGAGAGAGGGCGGTCACCGTGTCGCAGGCGCCTGCACACCCACGGGCCACCCTGGCCGCACCGGCCTGGGACCGGCCGCCTTCCCGGCACCACACGGCCGGCGGTTTCCTGGGTCTGTCTGCGCGCGGCCCAGGCCCTCGTTCAGCCTTGCTCAGTTCTCCAGATTCCTTTCTTACTAGCATCTTCCCGGAACCTGGAGCTCACCAGCGTGGGGGCTTCGTTCTTTCCCAGCGGATTTCACTGCCTCTGTCCGCTTTGTGTCTCTGTCCCTGCCTCCCTTCTCCGTCTCCCCCCATCGCTGTCTCCACTCTGTCCCCATCCTTGTCTGTGTCCCCCGCCCCCCAGGCCCCATGTGGAGCACAGTCTGGTTCCTGAGCCGCCCAGAGTCAGGACTGGTGATGACTCAGGTGGCTGGGAGCAAGTTTACCGTCCCCTGGTGAGCACTGGCTGCTGGTCACCGGGGCCACGTGGCCGCGTAAGCCAATGTCAGGGGGAAGGCTGGCGGGCACACGGGACCGCACTGCTCTCCCGTCCCCTGGGCCACTTACTCTGCAGCCGGGGCCGCAGAAGCATCGCCAGCCGAGAGCAGCCGTGTCCCGGAGGGGGCCTCGGGCAAGCCCCCGCTCCCTGTGACATGGGGGCGGTGTGCTTTACCTCGGGGTCTGTGGTCCAGGGAGGCCCTGCTCTCCGCTGGCTCTCCCTCCTCCAGCTGAGGCTCCCAGGCTGCCCACGCAGCAGGCCCTTCGGCCTCTGCCCTGAAAGCACCCCGGGCCTGCTTGTTAGGAGACACGGTGAAGATTCTGGGCTGTGTCCGCCCCCGGGGCCCCCACGCCCAGCCCTCCACCAGACGCTGCTCGGTCACTCAGGGTCTAGACAGGGTCTCCAAAGACAAGACGCACGGGACCCGTGTTAGGAGACTGGCCACGGCCACGTGGCTTCACCCGGAGCAGGGGTGACAGAGGCGAGGCCTCACAGAGGCGGAGTACATGAGGGGTGCGGTAGACCCTCGCTGTGGAGGTGACGGGACGGCGTGGGGAGGAAGTCTCTGGGGACAGACCCTCCTCCGAGGGGCAGAGAGTTGAGCATCCGCATGGCTCCAGAGGCGTCTGTGGTGGCCTGGGTTCAGGCCCGGGAGCTTCCTCGCGGCTAATTCCCTGCTGAGGGGGGTGGCGGGGGTCACGGTACCCAGGCTGGCAAGCGGCCGAGTGTTCTCTAAGCTGGGCCGATCGGGAAGAGGCCTCTGTTAAGGGAGAGGGGCCTCAGCCAAACCCCTCACTGCCCGCAGCTCTGGGGCCTGGCTCCCGGGGCTTTGCCAACCCGGCCCCTCCCCGGGCAGGTCCACAACCCCCTCTCCCCCCAGCGGCTTGGCGGGGAAGGAGACCACTCTTGCCCTGGAAACAGGGCCTGGTCCCATCGGTGGGCCCATCCAGCTCCAGGACATCCCCCCTGGGGACCCAAGGAGACCCACCCTGTCTGTCCCCTGTTTCTGAGTTAGGACCCGAGTCTCACCCGCCTATAAGCTCCATAGCTTTTCCGTCTCTACACCCAGCACCAGGCCCCAGCTTATGTGTCCTCCTGGCTTCTCTGCTTTCCAGCTGTGTGGACTTGAGCAAGTGGCTTGAGTTCTCTGTGCCTCAGGTTCACCCCCCTTGGTGAGTGTGGGACTCCGCGAGATCGTCGGGGGACAACCTGGGGGTGCTCACCGTCTCTCGAGAACCACCCGCGGCTGCCTTCCTTCTTCACCTGCTTCTCCCTGGGGGCAGGTGGGGGGGGTGCCCACCCTTCCGAATTCAGTTATTCGAGGCTGCAGCTGACAGTTCCTTCCACAGCCCCAGTTGTCTCCTCTCAGGAAACAAGTGACACGGAGCAAGTAACAACACACACATTATTTACACGCATCACACATCACAGCACAGGCACGCACGCACAGGCACACCCTGGCTGCCACCCAGACTGACCCTTAACAGAAATACAGGAAATGTCAGCAGAGGCTGCTGCACACAGGCTTGACACGCGACTGCACCTCGGTTGCGTGTCCCTCCCCCCCCCACCCCCGACCCCCCAAACCTGCCCCTTATCCTGCTCCCCCTCTGTGGCCCCCCCCCCCTCTAGTCACTCCAGCCAAAGACCTGAGTGTCATCCTGGCAACGTCCTCCCAGCCCGTCCCCCTGCTGGGCACCGCCACCCGGAACCCTGCCGCCTGCCCGCCTTGCCTCCGGCATCCCTGTTCCTGCCGCCCCTCCCGCCCCAGCACACCAGGCGCAGACGTCTGTGCCGCCCCCGCACTCCGCGTCTAGCGACTGTCACTCCTGGACCAGAGCCCCAGCGCTGGGCAGTCCTCCTGCTGTCTCTGGACTGATCAGGGGGTGGCTTTCTCTGCCCCGACAGCCCCTTGTCACCTCCACACAGCAGTGAGTGTGGCTGTGACAGTTGTGCTCGCGAGGGTCCCGGGCATTATTCTGGGGGTTCACGCACTTTAGCTTGTCCAACAACATAACAGACATGCGTCCGCTGTTGGTTCCTCCGCTTCCCAGGAGCCCAGGGACGGGCCGCGAGCTTGACCCGCCTCCAAGTCCCCTACACCCGACAGAGGTGCTTCCTGGGGCCACTCCTGTCTGTCCACCGCTGTAACCCCAGCACGAGAAGAGTGCTCGGTACACTTCCGCGCAGTGAATCGAGGCACGCTGCACCCAGCGGGCACCCACTTCCCAGGGGATGCTCTCGTGGGTTTCCTCTGCCGTCCTCCCAGCATACCTGGCTGTTGAAAAGTGGCTTTTCTGCAGTTTGTTGGCAAACGGGACTTTGGGGGCCCCGCTTGCTTCTCACAATATCCAAAGCATGGGCTCTGTTAACATCATGAGTCTGGGCCCGGCTGATGTGGCAGCAGGCACTTTGCGAAACAGCTAGACTGATAGCAGCAGACGCGGCTGCTTCTGTGGACACCTGGTAATCAGAGATATCTTCTTCTCGGTGCAGCATTATTTCACGGTCAACTTCAGCCACGAGAACCAGAAAGCCCTGGAGCTGAGGACAGAGGACGCCAAGGATTGTGACGAGTGGGTGGCAGCCATCGCTCATGCCAGGTATGTCTCACCCACCCCACGGTCCTGGCAGAAGAGGCTGAGCCCAGGGACCCCATCCAGAGCAAACCCAGGCCCTGGAGTGGGAGGGCGCGGAAAGGAGGGGAGCGGAGAAGGAGCCGTAAGGGAAGGCCTCTTGGGAGGGGGCGCCCCTCAGAGCCCCGAAGCTCCGGGTCTGTAGCTCCCTCGGGTGCCCCAGGAGCCAGATGGGGACAAAAGCAAAGGGCTCTAGTATATGCTGCAGAGAAAGTGGGGCTCCACGCTGGATTGAATCTTTTGGGTCCTGGAGAGGTGACAGGCTTGTGGTCTGGGGTGTGGCTCCACAGCTGACAGGCCCCTGGCAGAGCTGAGTACTATCCGAGGACAGGGACACCTGGATTCACCCCTCCCAACAGGTGATTTTTGTGGCTCAGTAGAGAGAGGTGTGTTTCTGTGTCTGTCTGCCTATTACATGCAAGGTCCTGAAGGCA